ACACACACACACACAGAGATTAATATCCCCAGAATGACTCGATTATATCAGCCGTCCGTGAGAAAATAGAACGTAAAGTTTCACAATGATTTCGAAGGTCTTTTTAAACAATAACTGTGATACATACAGAATGTCTCGGACTGTCTCGCATGAAAAGCTGATTTTCGGGTCGGCGTTACTTATTGTTTTAGGATGTCCGCCAGGTCAACGAACGAAGAGAACGAAATTTATGTTCCATATTCTCCTAGTACGATAAATATTGCTTACAGAATATTGGACCTTGAACGCTTTCGACTTTTTCTTTCTCACGGCAACAAGAGGTGGTGGAGCGTTATTGGTAGGCCGCGAAGAACGCGTGGTTCTGCCAAGTAAAAGTGATGCAAGTGATGCGCGTTCGTATTCGTACGTAAAGCGCGGTTACGAACGGGCATACCGGTCGCGCGGTAATTATCCGGATATGGCGAATCGTGTAAACGTCGTCCTAGTTCTTCTCTTTATGCCCGATCGGTCTTCTTCTTTCCAGCAACATTCATGCACGCGCGCTCCCCTTTTTGCTCTTTGTGTACGTGAGATTCTCGATGATGTCGCGATCCACCTACGACACGATCGATGACGCGTCCTCCACGAATAGATAAACCGGTCACACATTAGTCTAGATGCATTCGTTAATCGGCATCGCGATGAATAACACGGAGCATGCCGATTCGCTTTTTTCTTTCGCGGTGGGTGATGCGTCATGTAATCTGACTCGAAGAATTGATTTGACTACAGCGGCTACACTCTTTCATCCGTCGCGAAGGATACACTTTGGAAAATTATGAATAATTACGTTGGAACGGTCGCTTGGAACGTCCAAGACCTACTGTACCAGTTTCCAGATATTAAGATTCAAAATGAAAATAAAACTGTTTCAATAATTACACTCATTTTCATGATTTAATGTCATAAATAATTCCAAATGAAAGAATTTCAATGAGTCAAGTTTCAAAATATGAATAAAATATAATATGAATAAACAAGAAAGTATTTTTTTCTGTGAAAAAGATGGTTTTTGTTTTAACTTTGTTTATATTACTATATTTTTATATTAATATCCTGTATAATATTTATGTTGATATTATAAATATACAATAATATATCTACATTTATAAATATACATTTAAAAAAATAATAATTTACTTATTGTTTTCCATCTTTTATTCTCAAACGGAATAGTGCGTCAAATGCGAAGATAAAGAGAGAGAAAAAAAAAGAAAAAGTCAAAGCGTTCAAGGTCCAATATTCTATAAGCAATATTTATTGAACTAGGAGATATGGAACATAATTTTCGTTTTCTTTGTTCGTTGACCTGGCGGACATCCTAAAATAATAAATAATGCCGACCCTCTCGGAAATCAGCCTTTCATGCGATGTTCGAGACACTCTGTATGTATCATAGTTATTGTTTAAAAAGACCTTCGAAATCATTGTGAAACTGCTTAAGCGAGTAAAATGGCATTGTATTCGGTAATTGCTGCAAACATTCATAGGACATACTCACTTTGAACTGCGACCAGAAACTGGTGGGCCATTGCCAGGTATAGTCGTCATCAGCGGAACTCGCACTGCTACTGGCGTGACTTTGTGTATCCAACCAGAGCGTACGGCCTTCGTCTTCCTTCACTGTAAACCATCGGAGAAATAGGGTGTTTAGAGCAGCTTTATGAGAATTGCATCGTCGATATGCAGATAGGCAGAGATACACAATTAAAAGAAAAAGAACTCGATGATAATTATTTCACGATTTCGTTTTGCTCGCTTTTTTTATATTCTCTCTCTCTCTCTCTCTCTCTCTCTCTCTCTCTCTCTATTCTACACACACACACACACACACACACACACACACACACACACACACACACACACACACACACACACACACACATGTATAATTCATTGCAGTTTCTTTTATCATGATTAAATGTTAATGTAACAAGTTCATATTATATAATTATTATTTTTCATTTTCACTTAATATTTTATTATCTATAATTTTTTTTCATATTATATTGAATTTTCTTTATAGAAATAATTCTTCGTTATTAACAGCCTCTGATGTAGTTAGATTAATGTAAAGAATATAGTTAATATAATTTAATATAGTTATATTAATGTTGAGAATATTTAAAATATTTTTAAAATGTTAAAAATGTAAAAATACAGAAAAGTATTATAATTAAATAAATACCAGCAATGCACGAGTGCATAAAACTGGTTCTCATTTACAAATTTTTTTATGATGGGAAGTAGAAAAATTATACATTTGTCTTAGAGCGTTCCGCAGCTCTTACATTTATTTTTGGCAACTTTATTTTTGACTTTTTTTAGTATTTAATATTATTATAAATATAGAGAAAAAGAATACTTTATTTTTTTCTCTTTCTCCTATTCCGATTTAGATTAATCAAATTTGTTAATATTATTCGTTTAAAAAATAACGATTTTCAAATATTTTTTATTTTACTCAGTTTGTTATTTGTTATCGAAAATTGAATCGAGATGATTCTGAATTACTTATTTCGAACCGTCCATGGATATATGTAATTACACCATCAAAAGCGGAAAGATAAATAACTCTTGAGAATCATTACGCGTCATAGCGCTTCACGAGTTAAAGATTAAACATTCAGTAGACAGATTCAATCAAGTTATCTATTTTAACAGTTCATAAAGCGGCCCTTCTAGAGTTAGCCATAGGGCGGGCGCAATATACTTTGAGCAAGTGTGCGCTTTAAATGGGCACATCGGAGCCGTAACGGTCTGTCTGCGGTCCAGGGGAAAGTCTAGGTGTGTATACATTTAAATACATATACCGCAGGGCGAACTGCATACTATATAATACCGTTGTGGCTGATGTGGTGCTCGTGATAATGAATGAGATGGTCGCAGAGCGGATGTTGGCTGGGATTATACTCCGGGCGAAGTTCCGGTGGGCAGTCAGATCCCTGTCTTGCAGCTCTCGCTGCGGCAACGATGCGATCTCGAACTTCCTCTTGCCCCTTTATTTGTTCCACTGAAACAGAAGCGTTTCGTACAACACCGAGCTCTCTTCTCAATCGACTCTGATCAATTCACGTGGACAACCGTTTCTCGCGGTATTTCACCAGCAGTTATTTAAAAAAAAAAAAAAAACAAATTTTGTGATAATAGATGTATATATTCATATTTACTAACAGAAAATTATTTGTTTCCGTAATGCAAATATTTTAGGAAAATATTCTTTTATTTCCATATCATGCATATTTATTGCATTAAAAAGACACTATTTGTGCCATATATAATGTTGACATTGAATATAAAATATAGAATGTGTACGTATTATTATATAATATTTTATTTTTATAGATATTTCTTTTAATTTTTTGCAAAATACGTAATATTAGGTGTAGTACAAAGTCATCGCGTATTTTTTAGCTCAAAGT